ATGTTCCAACCTTCGCGCATGTTTCTGACCGCGTGCTGTGTTGTTGTCTTGATAGGATGGCTACATCATGCCCGGTCTTGGTGATGCCGGTGATCGCGAGTTCCAAACGGGCGCGCAGCTCGAGAAGGTCGAGAGTTTGGGCGCCCACAAGAAACAGAAGCTGTAGTGAGAGAGAGACCAGAACCAAAAGGATAAAGGCAACTTGAAGTGCATTAGAAATGATGTGACGAACATCATTTCTATTTTAACCGTTTTTTTTCTAAGTCCGATTGGTTAGAAAAGCCACTTCCAGATTTTAGAAACTCCAAACCATTGTGAAAAGGTGCATCGATCTGCATCATGACGAAGGATCCCGTGACACCGCCGCTGCTCAAGACGCGCTCAAAGGATCCTCTTGAGAGTTCCTGGCGGAAGCACATGGTGTGCCAGCATCTCATTCATTTCTTCTCTTCGTCTCTATCGCTAATGTGCTCTTCACTGCGTTATTCAGAGCGATGGGCAGTGGGTACCCGACGTCTCTGTGGACACGTGCATGCTCTGCCGCACCGAGTTCGGCTTCTGGATCCGACGCCACCACTGCCGCCGCTGCGGGGCCGTGGTATGTGATAGCTGCTCTGGTAGCCGCACCAAGTTTATCTACAAGGCGAGTAGCTGATGCAGTAGCCTTCAAGGCAGTAGAGCTTTTGGAAGAAGGAACATTGCGTTGGTACTAATAGCCGTGCTATTACTTCTTCGTCGTCGCGAACAGGAAATCACCCCGAACAATCTGGCAGAGGAGGATTGCCGCGTGTGTGACGCGTGTATCCGCGTGATCGACGAGAAGTTGGCGCTTGGTGTGAGTCGGCGCTTCGGCAAGGGCATTGCGGCCGCACTGGCTGCCAGCGAAAGCGACAACCAACTGGAGCACACGGCGACACCGCTCGAGCCGGATAAAGGAGGCAACCGCACAGTCATGACCATGGGCAGATACAGGTACGAAATCGTTTATCGGGTTTACGGAATGATGCTTCGTTTGCTGATGTGCGTGGGTGTCCGTGCTCGACAGAGCGGAGATCAAGGAGTCGGAAGGCAATCGCTACATCCGCGACACCGACTTGTAGCGACGATGAACGCGGATCTACGACAGACTTAACAGAGAAGCTGGAGTACAGGACAGACTTGGATGGTATGAAAGTCCACAACGTACGAAATCACTAATGACATCACTTCTACATATACTTGCTACACGATGCAACATCCCGTCCACCCACTAGACAAACGAATCCTACAAGTTCACGAGAAATTCTCAGTCAAAGATCGAGAACTGAACCCTACAGTTAAGTCAACCTGAAATTACTTGAGATTTGTATACTGCTCGACTTCAGCTCCAAGCCAGTTTTTCAAACAATCAAACGCTGTCACTTGCCATCAAGGCGGAAGGTTGGCAAGCCGACCACAGAAAGACATTTGAGAAGAAGCTTCATCCTCTCTCCGTCTCTTGTGTATCTCGCCACGCAAAGCAACAATAGCAACTGCTGCCTTTCTCTGCGTGTTACTACCGGCTGGTCCTGGAAGCGGCTGCAGAGTCGAAAACAACAACCAACAAATACCTGCTGGATCCATGGAGCTCGAGCACGACGGAGTAGACCTACAAGCCATGGACGCACTGGAGCCTGCGCCGGAGTATCCAGCTGAGTCGGATCTCCATCTCCACGACGGGACAAGCGGTGCAGACGAAGAGACGGACGACAATGAGTCGATTGACGGGAGTGGCAGGTCGCGGCTCGCCATCTCCACGTCAGGGCGCGTGCCAGGTTCCAAACTGCGAACACCCACCAAGATCTCGCGAATCCCCACTCCCGGACGAAGAACCAGCGCCTCCACTTCGTCTACAACCTCGCCAAACTCCACCAGTAGGCTCGGAATGGCGGCCAGGACCACTCCGCGTGCACTGGAGAAGAAGGTGCAGCGCGTGGGCACCGCCAGCGACTTGACTCCGCGTTCTGTCATGGAAGAGAAGCGTCCGTCGGCTTTGGAGACCCGACGCGCATACTCTGCGTCTGTGCGGGCACGTTCCGCTGCCGACGGAAGCAGCGGGCTCAAAAGAACGAACAGTAACAGTAGCATGAGCAGTATTGCTAGCAGTGTGGCTAGTGTGTCGTCACTGTCGAGGTCGAGGAGTAAACCTCCCACCACTGCGCAAGCGGAGAGGAGGAAGACGCTGCATGATTTGGTGGAGAGCAACAAGGAGGACCGACGCAGTAGTCTCGGCTCGCAGTCGTCATCCTCGTCGCTCTCCTCATCGGCCACATCGACTTCCTTTATGTCTGCTGCATCGTCTAGAACTCTGTCGTCCAGAACTGCGTCCAGATTGGGCTCTGCGACGAGGAAGAGCACTCGAAGCAGCGTCACAGCGTCGCCGGCTCGGAAGATGGCAACGACGCACAAGGTGTGGCCTGCTAATGCTCCGACTTTGTCGATGCTTCCAGAAGATTTTACACTCAATGAACAGGCGGTAACGGCGCTGAAGGAGGACCACGAGATCACTGAGAAAGGTGTTCAAGAACTGTTGTCATACGTATCATCGTCGTCGTCCAGTATGGCCCTGACTACAGCCAATATGAAGGCTCGCAAGGAGGAAACAATGCTGCTGAAGGCGGGATTACGCAGGTTGAGTACACACACTGAAGGTCTGATGCGCTGCTGCGAGGCTTTCGAGAGGAGGACACTGGAACACAACGAGTACGCAGACGCCTCCGCTGCTGAGATTGAGCGACTCACTGAAATGCTGAACGCGGAGCAGAGTAAACACGCACAAGGGCCATTGCCGGAGCTGCAACTGGAAGATTTCAATGGAGAAGCCCCACTTTCCAGGTCGCCTCACCCATCCTCGGACTCGGAGACTGCGTCGACCACCTCTTCACAGAATATTTTCCCGAGAGTATCGAGCGAGGAAGCTGATCGCCAGCGTCAAGAAATCCAGCAGGCTATGCAGGAAGACTCTCCGTTATCGGCTTATGTGCGGAATATCTTGAAGACAGCAACGGACAAAATTGAAGACAAGTGGAGGTCTCGATTCGCCGAGCAGCTAGCCGAGCACGAGCAGGCGTTGGCTCAGGAGCGTGAGCGATCGTCTGCGTCGGTCCTTTCTAGCTCGCGATTGGTGACGGAGACTCTGCATGGCAAAGACGATGAGCTGAAGCTCATTGAAGAGCAGAATTTTAATTTGAAGCAGCAAATTCGGCAGCTGGAGTTGGATCTGGAAGCCACGCGCTCGGAGAGGGACTTCTTCAAGCAGCAAATGGACGATGAAGACGACGAGCGATCGTCCAGTGCACACAGCTTCTGGGAGAAGACGACTGATCTGGCTAAGCAGAACCGCAACTTGACGGAGGATTTATCCCAAGCCAACAAAACGATCGTTCGACTGAACGAGACGATCAAGATCATGAAGACGAAGGCGTCAAGTCTGAAAACCGAGAATGGTGATCGTGTGCGTGAGTCAAAGTCTATGGTTGCAGAGAAGAACTTGCTGCAGGACAAGTTGGCTGCTATGGAAGCGAAATTCGAGGACGAAAAGAATCGCCGAGAGCAATTCCAAGTAAACGTGGAGCAGTTGACGGTGGAAAACACTGCCTTGTATGCGCAGATGGTGGCACTGCAGACGACTCATGCAGCTAAGATGGAAGAACTGCAAGCTCGCTATGAAAAGCGGAACGTCTCTCTTGCTGGCGAAATGAAGCTCCTTCAGGACCAGAACCGACTGATGCGCAGAACTGAGCCAAGTGCCCAGCGAGAGGCATACGTCAGTGGCGCCATTGGTTCGACGTATGGTAGCGGTAGCTCTTCGTCGCAGGCTGACGATGAAGAAACAACTCGGCGTATCCAAGAACTGACGGATGATCTGCTTGATGCCCGGCGAGAGCTTTCGGAAAAGTCGGAGCTGATTGCTGACCTAGAATTGAAGATTGCCGAAGGTGAAGCAATTCGCCGCAAGCTCCATAATACGATTCAAGAACTGCGAGGCAACATCCGCGTCCATGTTCGGCTACGTCCGTTCTTGCCTTCTGATGGCGCAGAAGGAATGGCGGAGAACCCGGAGTCGGCCATCATGTGTGATACGTTTGCCTCCACGATCACAACGAACGTGGAGAGCCCACACACGTTCGCGTTCGACAAAATCTACGGCCAAGCTGACTCGCAGGAGTTCGTATTCAAAGATGTGTCGGATTTTATCCAGTCTGCGATGGATGGCTACAACGTCTGTATCTTTGCGTACGGCCAAACAGGTTCTGGTAAGACGCACACCATGCAAGGCAGCGGAAAGGCTCAGATGCGTGGCATCATTCCGCGATCCATTGATCTCATCATTAGTTGTTGCGAAGAGCTGACGGCCATGGGATGGAACTTCTCGCTCATGGTGACGTTCTATGAGATCTACAACGAGACCATCCGCGATTTGCTGACGATGGACAGTAGCTCGGACGTCAAGCATAACATCCGCACTGACAACCGAGGACGCAACTACGTCGAAGGACTGACTGAAGTCTTCATTGACTTTGATCAGGCAGCCGAGCAAGTGGACGAGATCGTGAACTTGGCGGCATGCAATCGCTCAGTGGACCGCACGGACATGAATGCTCATTCTTCGCGTAGTCACAGTATCTTTGCGCTGAAGATTCGAGGCTACAACGAGGCGCAAAACACCGAGGTTCAAGGGAGCCTGAGTCTGGTTGATCTCGCTGGTAGTGAGCGTCTGAGCCGGTCTAACGCCACGGGAGACCGCTTGAAGGAGGCTCAAGCGATTAACAAGAGTCTGAGTGCTCTGGCTGATGTGTTCCAGGCACTCGCGAAGAAGTCATCTCACGTCCCGTACCGAAACAGCAAGCTCACGTACGCTCTGCAGCCTGCGCTCTCGGGAGAAGGGAAGACGTTGATGATGGCGAACTTGTCGCCCACGTACGCATCTCTGGATGAAACGTTGTGCAGTATGCGTTTCGCGCAGAAGGTGAGTCAGTGCGAGCTTGGAGCTCCAGTGCGTCAGATCAAGTCGACAAGGCGCCAGTCGCTGGGTCCTGGAGATCTGTCCCGTAATAGCATCAAGAGCTCACCTCCGCGTGAAAATCGACGAAGCACATTCACCCCGGGCACGCTGAAGAGGCTGCTGTAGTAAGGGCTGCGAGATTGATGAACGACATACTGCATTACTATTCGTCTGAAATATGCAACCCGAGGTCAAAGTGTTGAGTTAGAATCGGGAAAAGGAGGAAGAAACAACATGCACGAGAAGAGAGAGCGAGGAAATGCCAAGTTGACTTGAAGAACTGCTAAGTTTGAAATAAAATGCAGGTTTTCGGCATTTAAGTGTGTTATTGGAGTGGTCTTGAACTTACAGATCACTCCGTGTGCTCCTTGGGGGCAGGAGGACTGAACAAGTCGAAGTACGAGATTAAGCGTGCGAGGTATACGGCCGTGCAGAGTGTGCAGACAAACAGCGTGACGATGTAGACCCCAGAGCCTTCAGGGCCCGATGGAAGTGCTCCTTTCCCGTCGTAGGCATCGCTGGAATAGCCGTAGTCAAGAGCAATCGGGAATCCTACGATCCACCATAGCAAGTGCGTCGTGATGAGGTTGAATGTCCAGCCCGAATTGTCCGTGACGAAGTGGACAATTGACTTGGCCGGGGGCGCGGGCATGCTTGCTGCGGGGTCCATAATGCTCGGCAAGTTCAATTTTCTGGTAACCTTGGCCTCGTGGGTTTCGCAATGCAAGTCTTGATGTAAGCGTGAGCAGCCGCACGACAGGATGAAGCGACGCCTCTCGTGCAGCGCCGTCCGTTACCGCTTTTCTGCATTTTCAATCGAAACGATGAAAGACTAACCTGGTCACGCTCAGCACAAAAGTCGCCAGCGCAGCAGTAACCTGTAGCCACAATACACTTGGCAGCAATTCAAACAAACCACGTGTCAACAGGATACCGTTCTTCACTGACTTCCTCTGTTATTTCCTGGTTAAACACCCCACGCAGGAAAACAATGATTGAGATTTTTAGTCGCGCTCGCTGATGGCAGTCAAGTGCGTCTCGATCTCGTCCTCGGTCAATTGACGGAATCGCTGGCCCTGCACCACAACGCCCACCTCAATCTCGTTGGGGCGGAAATCAGCCGACAGAACGGACTGCAGACACGTGATGGCAGTGTGCAG